GACTTGAGTTCGATTTTTTTGTGGGCTCGAGCTCGGCTTATTTTCTAAATGAGCCGACCTTAAATAATTTTTTAGGTTCGTTTAAAAAAATAAGCTCGACATACTTGGTTCTATCTCGCAAAACTCGACTTGATTATTAATTCTAATGGAGAACGACCTTTTTATAAATAATATATCTCACTTAAATTTACCATAAGTAATTTATTATTAAAAATAATTAAAAAAATATATTTGAGGAAATCTCGATTTAATACTCTAGTCAATTGGTCCAGAATGAGGAAGCTGGAAAGTCAATCTTTGTTCCAGACCTCTCCACTAACGTCAATCTTGAATTCAACCCAAATGGTCGTTAACAGACAGTTATAAGACCACTCGCTCTGTTTAAAAAACAAGAAACAAAAGAAGAATGTCTTTCTAATGCCACGTTTCCTAACTTTTGACGTTGTGTGTTTGAACTTTTGACGACACAATGGCACTAAGCTATGTTTGTTAAATAAAACGTGGATAAAAACTTATAAACACACAATAATGACGACTTTTGTAATACTCGTGTCTTCCATCAATAATCCATTTAAATAAATACCACCATCAACCGTCGAGTGTGGTGGTTCAATGGAGTATTGTCCGAACTTCTCATTCTGAAGTTAGAGATTTGAGTTTTGGAGTTCACATTAAGACTCAGTGGTTGATCGTTATGTTAGCCTAATTAGGTTCGTTCCCAAGAGAAGTAATGAGTGTGGTTAGGGTTCTTGCGATCCCATTAGTGAGGACCTATTGGGGTGGTCTCTAAACGCTCTCTTTTGTCCTCACTCATTTTTTGCTTATTAAAAATAAAAAAAATTCCACCATCAGTTCGTGGTCAACGTTCCATGAATATAGACCCCACATTAATATGCAATAACCATGTGAATTATCACAAATGATTAGCCCAAAAAAAAGGAAGATTGTATTTTACATCTTGAAAGATTATTATTTTATACTTTTAAAGATTAAATTTTTCATATTAGACCCTCAATATATTAAAAGTATTACAATATGACATTTCTTTTAGATTCTGTTATTTGTTTTTGTTAGTGTCAATAGAGAGATTTTTTATGAACAAAATAATGGAAACTAACAGAAGTACCATATTTCAATATTTTTAATACATTAAATATATAATATAAAAAAATTAATCTTTGAGAACGTAAAGTAAGAATCCTCAAATCTTTCAAAATACAAAGTAACTCGTCCTAAACATATATTTTAGATCTCTTCATAAATACTTTTGAAGTAAGACACAACACACGTCTTTTGAAACTAAATCACGGATCGTGATCGATTGTGTATTCATAAGAGATCCACTTAAAATATAATTGACCCGACTTTAATTCACAATGTGTGAGCTCAATTAATTATTGACGGAATCTAATAGTGAAATGGATTTCAACCCATCTTGTTACCCAACCCCATTGCTGCTATTTTTTAATGTTGGATTTCCATGCAAATTCTGTGGTTGAATTTATAAAATATATATTGGCATTCAAAGTTTGAATATGAGA